GGGGACTAGTCTCAACACCTGTCAGTGATATCCCCTACGAACCTCCAGCTCTCACTGTAAAGTCTGCAGAGCCGAGATTGAGTAACACCTTACCAACTTTGAGCTGATTTATTTCCGCCTCCATCAAAGATACGCTTCCGATTACACATAACACATAAGATGACCAAGACGATGAAAATGATGCTAGGAATGAGGAAAGATAATGCGTTACCAAACGCTACAACGGTAGTCAGAGAAGCCCTCGTTATATCACAACATGTGCTACCCACCGGCGGCCGAACAAAAAGCCCACGAAAGCAAAATAAAAAACCCTTCAGCCTTCAAGAAAAGCAGATTTCGACTCGTCTACATTACCATCCCTACTAATCTTAACTTCCGAATCTGCTAGCTAGGAGGGCATCTGAAATACATGAGTTACCCGACGACCCCACGTCCGGAACGACTTTTGGATGTTAGGTAAGGCTTTTTCACGGCAGTCACTCTCGACCAAGACTTTTCTGACGTCCTTTCACGACCTACGATTTTTCCTGCGGCATGAATCGGGGGAGGAGTAAGGAGGAGGCTAGGAAGGTTGAGAGACACTTCTAGGTATACACAGGTCTGTTGCGCCCGGCTGGCCGGCCTCTTCGTCATAGGAGAGCGCCGCACCTAGTAGTTTTTGAGACTTTTCCCTGCAGCTACACACCCGCAAATGGCCATTACTTCGTTGGCTGGAGAGGAGAGATAATGACGGGATGACAGCTCCTCTTAGTGTGTACTCGAATGAAGACCTGTGGGGGTATTATTGCTGGAAAGAAGTCGTGAAGGAGGCATAGGAGGGAGTACACTACCCGAGGCATAGATACTCCTGGCCTGTAGGCAGAAAGGACCTACATGTCCTTACATAGTTATAGACTCATAAAGACAATAAACCTTCACTCACCCATGGTAGTTTTTGCAAATGAAGTCCAGAGTATGAGTGTTTCTTGTCATGAATGCGCTTTTCACATTAGTAATAAATCGTCATGCACGTAATGTAGCATGCAGAGCCAGGGAAATGGAAACAGGTTAGTGATAAATTAGATACCACCAATTGCTACACTCACCCGTAGATCACCCCAAAAAGAGACTAGCTACGGCGCTATCTGGAGGTATGTGGGATTGGTTAATTATCATGTAGATAACCCGTAACATAACATAACATAATAACACAATAAGATACCATTCGCATCCCGTAACATTTATTTCCATAATCACCCAAGTATATTCTAAGCCCCCTGAGTAGTCTTAACCATTTAATTGAAGATACCAAGTGTATACAACCATATACATCACCACCCTACAATATTTCTAACGTCAAAAGAGTCATCTAACAGGTATACAAGACACCGGTCATGTTGTGGATCTAGAAGCTTCGGATCATAGTACCCCCGTGTAAGGTTCTGAATAACTATTACACACACCATCTCTGTAGAGTAGTAGCTTTTAGATATGGACAAGTGCGTTTGTGTGTGTTTATTATGCTACTTGAGTCTATGACTATCTAGCACATTGGGCTCCTCTCTGACCCAGGCCACACCTTGTACAGCGCTCCTATCCTCTTTTGTTACTTGAAAGATCATTGATATATTCCCCTTGATGAATAGCCATTCAGCTCAGTGTTTACCCGTGGAATTCGGCCACCTTTTCCACGGAACCTTCAACAAAAAAAAAAAAAAAAAAAAAAAAAAAGGTAGCAATGGAAACTGCGTGCGCGGGAAAAAGTCTCAATAAACCTGCAGGCCCAGCCAGGCGAGGCCTCGACACCGGGACCACATGAGGTGCGCATATTCATCTATATATCCCTTCTTTGTAGCATTCGAGGCCGACTTGATCCAATCCACCATCTCCGTATCGGGTGCTGGGTACGCTCCAGAAGCTCATCGGATGGCTTCTCCTCCATGATCAAAGGCTGTTGATGAGAGGGCTTCGACCCTTCCATCTGCTCTGATCGTGGTTAGCTTCATGATAATGATGATAGGGGAATGTGTTGAGAGATGAAGACGATACAGACCGCTAGATATAGAGAATATACGCCATGTAGATCATAACAGACCCTTACACACGTATATACACGTACAATAAGGGCCTAGTGATGTTGGTATTCAAGATGCACAATGTGTCAAAACTCTATAACTGTAAACAAATTAAACGAACTTTAAAAGATAAATTGCCCAAACCTGCCAAGACTTAGGAAATTTATAGAGTCAAGGTGATCAATGTGGCGTAGACTTAGTTGCGCTTTGTTATGGCGGTCAAAATGGGGTTCGCCTGGCTTCAATGATTGGGCGCGAGAGGCACCTAAATCAATGTCCTCGCACCCCTTCGATAGCGTCGGTACTACATCAAGACCAATCTCCCTCTCCTGATTCATATCCTCTATCAAACCGTTTAGTACTGACCATGCCAATAGATTATGGATTTAGAGAGGCATCTGGCCCTCTCTCCACACCTCTCTCCTTGGATACTCTTGGGCACTAGGCTCCGATCCTTCTATTATAAACCAGCTGAAGGAAACCATTCCTAGAATAGCCTGGCCGTCGCCGGATCAATTGATGTCAGTGTACGACAGAGCACGTCTAGAATAAAATCAGGCAATGAAAGCTAGAGATGGAAGGCCTGCGACTTCCCGCTGACTACATAGAGCAATATGATTACGAGCGCCGATCATTATAACCTCTGTTGAGCACCCGTATCTAGACTGCATCCCTGCCGTACGGGCGCAGACAGTACAACTCCAAAGGATTAATCCCGTAGCACTGGCTGAGCGATAGGTATGAGGCTCGGGGCGAGATCTTTATCGTAACGTCCAAAGAGTCACTCGCATTCCAGAGCACCTCCGAGTCGAAACCATAGCATCTCGTCCAACTTGAAAGTTTAAGCCTATTACCTTGTACATCGCCACATTGGTGTAATGCTCAGCTGTGTGCGATAGTAGATCTAGTAGCTGGTGTATAGGTAGTTATTATGGCAGTATGTGTTGGAAATAGAGACACAGAGTGTTGTGGACGTACGGGCCCGCCATTTCGTCTAGATTCCCAACACGATCTCGTGTGTGTTCTATGACTGTGGTATCTGGAATGATCGAAGTGAACGTTGGCCGTCAAGTCACTACTGTATGAGTCGTAAGATATCAAGGATTTCAGGATCAGAGATAAAAGATTAGGATTGGTGAGGTCTTTGGTTTTCACTGAACTTATATTTAGTTAAAGGGCTTAGCTTTTTCTTTAATCTACATCTAACTATCTATGTTCTACCTCGCCAAGGTAGAAACATTGTGTTCTGATTACGTGATGGAATAATATTCCCTCCACCGAATTCATTACCAACAGAGACCTCACCAAAGCTGGTAGCGATCGAAGATGAGTAGTCTTCGTCTACTGCGCACTGCGTGCAGTTCGGTCTGGTATGTCTAGATTTCAACATATTCAAGAGGTTGGAATGGGTAATATGGTAGCGCTTCAGGCTACCCATTGGAGACATGATTGGCTCTATGGCGTGGGCACAAGGAGATTATTTGGCGTTTACTAAGTCTAGTTAGCGCCACATTCATTAATGCTGTGGCTTAGGCTCTGTGTCGCTTACACTTGTACTTATTGCGCCCACTTCCCACACTTTTAGCTGTAATCATGTAAGGATTCTTGAGAAATGCCTCAGGCAGGATTTATGGGTCCCTTGTTTAATCCCACTAGTCTTTATTGCTTAGCGAGGGCACCTATGTAGTTTCCATTTCCGAGACTGAGATTTTCACGATTTGTCTTCTGTCTTTAGGAATAGTTATATTATTCTAATCACGTCTCACTCTCGTCCTCTGCCAACTATAGTAACCTACCGTCACCTCCGGCCCCTCTATCTAGAACGACTCCCCGCTTTCCCAATTACCACTTCTCTAGAAAGCCCTCCGCGTTCCCACGAGGCGTCCTTCCTCAGTACATCGTACGCTACGCCCTCTCCGACGTCTCGAGTCTTGCGCCTAGTGAACCTGCGCCTGACAAATCAGAACATGTCACTCTTTTAATCAACTTATGCTTTTGTTCCATAAATATTGCGTCCATTTCATTGCGCCGTATTTCCAACGGTATGGTATCATGGCAGATGAAGGAGATCCAGTTTCTACATAACGTCATTACAAGTAGCACTGTGTGCAGTACGAGAGATGGGTTGTTGATATATGATAAATGGCATAGCTGCTCAGTTGGAAGCACACTTTGGTGCGCTGCATATTGGTTACGTGATCGGTCTATAGGTGATTAAGCTAGGGGATAAGAGAAGAGCTTCCCCAAATCTGTTATATAGTAACTATAATAGTGTCCTCACTTCTGCATATTAATGAAGAAATCTCTCCATGAACTATCTTGCCTGTTCCAGCGCAAATGTATGTTCCCAAATCAAATAGCAATCATGATAATTGACTTATGCTGCAGAGTGTATGAATTTGTATTCATGCAAATCTAATGATTCTGCTTGGGATAAATCGTCTATAAATCGGAAGAATATAATATTAAAACTGAATGTTTTTAATTAAACATGACTACTGTGGGTTAATAAGCTTGGTCAAACCTCGACGGAGAGAGTATCCGCAATGACGTCACATATTACCACGTGTTCTCATGTGAACGATTCCTCATGTATAACTCATGTAGATGATGGAAGACGTAGAAGAGAGATAGATATACATATACATTCGAATAACTAACCTGACATTTGTCGACCCTTGTGATATCACATTGTAAGACCTTCCAACAATTACTGTATAAAATTGAATAAAATAACTATTACGTATTATCTTGTAAGAGACTGGTAGAGCTCTAGTCAGCCATAATCATTAGATGAAATGCTGCATAGATGCCAATATCTTCGCCCTAAATCATACTCGTGACAATCTAGTCAATGATACCTACAGCATTTCAGTTCTAAGTTATAGTTCAGAATAAAGATAATCTTCCTTTAAACTCTATGTTTTTTTCCATACCCAATCAAATTCACTCCTTAGCCTCGGTAGTCTGAGGATTAACAGGATGAGATTTAAGTGGTGCTTGCTCAACGGCAACAACACTCTCAGAAACTTCGGTAATAGTCTTGTTATCCGTAGGTGTCGATGTTAAATTTTCTTTCTCCTCTTCCTTTTGAATTATAGGACTGCTTTCCTTGGATGGTAGGCTCGAAGTTTCCGCGGTTTCTTCTGGACTCTTCTTCACTGAGGCATCACTACTAGGAGCTGTAGTAATGATTGGGGTAGTAGATTTAACCGGAGTAGCAATATTTTCATTGGCGACTGTAGCTTTTGTAGCAACTATAGTTGATGGTACATTACTAATAGCAATCTGGAAGGCTTTAAACCATTTCTGAGCCTCATCGGCAGTGGCAGCTTTGAATTGTATTTCTGGGGTACCAGTCAACTTACTACCGAGGCCTTTGCTCACATCTTTGCCCTTGACGTGAAACTTTTCACCGTTGGGAACCCCCAGGGTCGCATCGGGGAGATAGATGGAAAGTTCTGGAGTGGGATCTTTGCGAATATTATCGTCGTCCTTGAATTCATGTAGGTATTTGCTTGGCGTTACCGCATAGTAACCTGTTGAGAATCCTGAGAAGCTTAATTTATTTCGCGATTTTCGCTCGAGAGTGCCCTCTATAATGGGGTTGGTAGCTCTATGATCTTGATTGGGAAATGTTATCGAATCCATGTTGCGATCTGGCGTGGTAGGGTCGATGAGAATATCACCAGAGCGCGAAAGGAATCCAATCCATTCAAAATTAGATGGAATAGCTTGTGCAGTTCCGAGCATATCAGAATAATGTTGTTCTTGGCTTTGACCTTGGCCATTCATAAGCCCAGTCAGCGCGGCCAGTGTTGTTTGAATAACTTCAACAATATGTTGTTCAAATTGACCAAAATTCTGTTGCAGAGCGACAAGTTCATGGCGGTGATTATTTTCCTCCATAACTTGCTTCGATAAACGATGGAGAACTCCACGTCGTAAGACATATGGATCTTCGGAGCTGTTGAACCTGCTACCACTCGCGTCGAAACCGGCCGCATTTTGTCCAAGAAGTTCGATATACTTTTGTGTGATGTTACGAGCTTTTTCGACTTCCTTTACGCTCTTCAGTGCACCGGAGGCAAGTTCTTTAGTTTTCTGCTTGATATCCCTTCGTAGCCGGTCCACAATTGGAATTACATTAGCTCTGATGTTCTTTTCGGTCTCGAGATGCGTATTGATCATAGCCTGTTAATAGCGATTAAAACCTAGGCACATTGATAGGAGGTAGTTAACGGACCTGAGTATTTTGACGCATGTTTTCAAACAAGCCAGCAATGCCGCCCACATTTTGATCAAAGTGGTGACCTGCTCTCAAGGGACTCTGAATGGTCTATTCTGCATCAGCACTTTGCGTCGCTTTTAGACAACACCTTATGCAATTCACCTTTAGAACCTTTTCGTACTCCTTGGCTTGGGCCCTCTCCATTCTTTCGGTGGCATTAACGTATTCGTCGACATATTCTACAGCGCATCTCCAGGCACTCATCCGCTCTGCCAGCAGTTCCGTCGTCTAGATAAAGTAATATATGAGCAAGCCGTCTCAACTTATTTGAAGCATATATACTAACATTTCTAGGATCACCAGAGGGAACGGCGTCTTCACTCATGGCACTCTGCATTGTGGATTGTCGAGTTGGTTGGATGATGGAATTCATTCTAGATGATATATGCTTCTTATACGTTTAGGTAGATCTACGATGAAAGTATTAGTTTTACATCTTGGTTGCAGACAGGTGATGATCCTTCAGCGAAGCTTGCCTTGGGATGGGGGGTTACAAGTAAATATTCGGCGTTCACATAGGATTTCTTACATTATCATAAACCTTGATATGGATGAGGTGAATTGTTAGAGGTTGAAGTATTATTATGTGGTATGAATATCGGAGCAAAGCAAGCAAAGCTACATAGGGAGCAGCGACTTCAATGCAGCAGCGATGACCATTTTAGAGTATTGCTCACTGCGAAGATAAAACACCATCATTAATCTGCTTCTCTGTCGCATCTCGAAAGTCTAAATTTTAGGTATTTGTTTCAGTAGGCCATGGAGTAGTTCCATTTCACGAGTGTCATGAAAACGGGTTAAAAAGGTCATGAGGGTTTATTTTTCAAACGTGCATTCCAAGCAGCCGTCAGGTTGAATCACGCATTTCGATGAGTCAAATATAATTTTTTAGCACAAGCTCTCTGCTCGACAAGTCTATGACATCCTATTTTCCTGCCCGTAGGCCGAGATTGTGCTATTGTGAAATCTGAGCCAATCTTATTTCTCCTAGACACTCACACGTATTTTCGGTGAAGATGGCAGTGCACATGGTATCATTTGTCTCCAATATAAAGTTTTACCCCAAAGCAACACACTGTTCGTTGTCCTCTTAACCCTTGTGGTTCTCAAACAACTTCGGTCTGACTCTAGCTGCCATGTTTGATGGAGATCATAATTTACATCAATAATTCAAACATGGGCCTAGTGGCACCTTAGCCTGCCGTCCGTACGCCGACATTGGTAAATTTTGGATATACTGGTCACCAACTAATCTGTGAGTGGTAAGGGTTAGCTCAAGTTGAGCGTGGCTGTACTCTTCTCGCAGCATGGTTTGACGTTTTATACAAGCTTCCTCTTCCATTCCAAAAGGAAATGGAACATTCAAATCTTCCTTATCGATAGGCCAAGTAGATTTATGCTTCCAGAGGAAGATCGCCGTACGACCAGTGGAATGAAGGTGCCGGGCAGGGGGAATCAGCATGGATCCCCAAGCTTTCTGTTTGGCGGGTAAGCACAGTAGACATAGGGGTCCAAGACCCTGCAGGAAGGTTCAGGTTAAACTGTGAGCAAATGCGAGTTACCACTAGTAATGGTCTTCAGTAGATAAATCCTGTAATTTCACCCTCCACGACGCTGGAGCATAGCAAATTCGAGTGACCGCGCGTAGCCTGATACAAATTTATTCAGCAAGGCACATCCATGCACTTCCAGTAGCAGAGCGTCTAAAGTCTTCTCTGCGGGTCTTGAGATGAAATCATTCCTAGATTAAAACTGCAGCCATAGGAAATTAAGGATGGATTGTTAGCTCAGAAAATATAAGCTTTATGTTGAGGTGGAAAACTTCGATTCGAAGATTCGACCACCATGCAAAAAAGAGAGAAAAAGTTGTCAACATCACGATATTCTTGCAGACACTGATACATGGCTTATGGCTGGAGTAGCAATGGGACTTGGTGAACATTCTAGGGGATCTTGCTGTGCCAGGCTCACCATCTGCACCCTTGGGCACAGTACAATATAAAAGAACTTGTAATTGGCAAATTTTGGAGGAGCAAATATGATGGTTGGCATTTGTCAAGTAAAACTCGACCATATTTCTCGCGGTGCCCGTGAACAGGATGACCAAGGGGTCTGGGTTTCTGTTTGATGGGTACTCTTGGATAAGAGGAGATTGACCTATATAAACAAAAATACCCCGTCAAGGTATTCGCGAATATCATCGATGTCACTAATACAAAATTAGCAGTCAAGTTGGGTACTCAGTACCCTCCACCTCACTCTAGTAAATATATAATCCAAATTTTCTCCTTCGTTAGACAGTCTCAGCCAGCCGTTGGCTGATTTTTACGTTGTAGATTCTTCTTTGGGGGAGGTAAAGATTGAACACCTGTACATGGTGCCTTCTACGAGCCTGAGTGTAAAATATTCTCCCAGAGCCAAGTCCAGCCAAATTTCGCAATATCAAAGAAGTTAGCCTACGAGGCAATGATTCAAATACTCCACCGCGTCAAATTTTCACTCCCAACGAGTTTGACTCCTGCCTAAGCCTCATTAAGTCTAAAAGTACGACCTATTACATCCTCGTTTCAATGACCACACCTCCGATCGACTTTCTCTGGCCTCAGCTGGTCATCAAATACATGCCCACGCCGGTATTTAAATCCAACGGAGGAAACAAAGCGCGGCGCATAAATGTGGAACACAGTTCTTTGGAATGAAAGTGAGAGGGATTAGGAAAAATTCACAAGGTGATGTAAAGTAAGGATATAACTTTTTTTTTAATTCATTTTATTGTCCTATCTGGGTCTATGACTATGTAGGACATGCAGGTCCTCTCTACCTACAGGCCAAGGATACCTATACCAGTAGTATATCCCCTCCTATGCCTCCCATACAGCTCCCCTCGAACAGTATCGCCCCTCACAAGTCCTCATTCGATCATACACTTGGAGGTGCCCTTTGCCCTTCATTATCTCCCCTCTTCAGCCAACGAAAAGATGGCCATTTGCGGGTGTATGGCAGCTGGGAAAAATCGCAAAAACCACTGGCTACGGGGCTCTCATAATACCGACATTAGGACTAGGTCCGAAGACGTAGTGACCCTTCTGAAGCATCTGAAGAGGCCGGCCAGCTGGGCGCTGCAGACTTATGGGTACCTCGGGAAATTCACACTCTGCCTTTCTAGCCTCCTTCCAACTCCCTCCCGAAGGTCGTGCTGAAATTTCAGAAAAGTCATGACAAAGCGTGATTGCTGTATAGTAGCTTAGCCTAACTTCTTTTGCGCCGTCCAGGGCGCTGGGGAGTGCCGTTGATTCATCGACAATTGAAGTTCTCCTGGCTGATTAGCCGAAATCTTGGTCTTGGCGCCCACAAAAAATCCAAAGTTGAAGACTCCTCGAAAATATCAGTCCCAACATGCTCTTCAGAAACCTGTTCCCCCTCTCGCTCCACAACTCAGCCGCCTGTCCTTCCTCAAGATGTATGAACCCATTAAAGCATCAGTCCCCCATAAACCAAGACCCCAACTTTGTGTATTATGACTTAATTTCCTCCTTGCGGGTATAGGTAGCGTCGTAAACTTGTAGTGAGTAATGGCCAGTAATGATTGAGGCAAGCTCCTGTTTGCAATTGGGGTGACGCCTTTATCGGTCGTCGAGGCGAGATGATGTGTGGTTAGACCGAGGTTGAGGATTAAGAAGATAATGGTGAGTGCTGCATGATTGAGAGGTCGTCAAATGGAGGCATGCATGTGTTTGCTTTCGACTTTGATTCGGTTGTGATTCTTCTTGGCTATCCTAGATATGCAGAACATACTGAGCGATTACACCGGAACCACTGGAAGGTGAGGAATTCGTATTTGCCGGCTGTCTGACCTTTTATTCTTCCAACATATCTCTCCTTAATACTCCCGAGAATCTCGTCGTCTTAGAAACTTTATAATCTTTCCATTACTCCGGCCTTGCCCCATCGCTGCCGTATTTACGTCGGAAAGCCCAGGATTAAGGTATCATTGTCTTGGTATTTGCCGAATGCTCTGGCTAATATGCTGTCGTAATCTTGAACCTACTACATCAGTGATGTTTCGTCGGAGGTCGAGTTGCTGGTGTCCTTGACTTAGGGATATACGTATATATGGCAGGTACTTTGACTGCGAATTAAAAACGCACAATATTTGCGATAAGTTATATTTCTGCTTGTATCTTAGATCTCTAGTATGATTTTTGGATTCTGGATAGCTTCGGCAGGTCGCGGGATGATTTTAGCTGCGAAACTTCTTCCAATAAAAGTTGGCAATGTAATGGTATAGATTATTCTAATACAAAAATGACTCAAGTTTGATTCTTTATGTGCTTTATATTTGGGGTGTAGATGTTTCAGTTGGTAAGGTTACGCAGTTACTAAATCTCTGCAGTTAGGGCTGTCTAACAATAATTCAATCACGTCACTCCTCCCAATCACCATCTCGACAAAATCATCTGGAAACTCTTTTTTATGATTGAATCTTGCTTCGACAGAAATATTTTTATCTCCAGTTTCGTTAACGATATCATTGATAAGTATTTAATCTTTGTCCTCCTGTTCCTTCAGTTTATAAACAGCCCGGTACCTACCTAATCAAAGTCCACCACAAGGTGATACCAGATACTAGAATCTCAGACATAAATACAGTATAAATCGTGGCATGCTTGTCGACTCAAAAAGGCCTAGGTTGGAAAACATTGTTAGACCTCTAGATGAGAAAATTTTCACTGTATACATGATACTCAGAACCGTAGAAGTTATTTCCGATAGCTGTTCACTCTTTCTCTCTGTTAGCCATACCATACCACGTGTAATCTGTTTAATTTGGTCTATGAGATGGGGGTTTTCGCTTGCGCTGGAATTGGTAAGATAATTCAAGGAGAGAATGAATAAGATACGCATAAAAGTCCATGTGAACGTGTATATCCTCAGTGCACCAGCTGCCAAGTCCACTATTCATTTCACATCTACGCATGACCTGATACAAAGTCGGCGGGCGGGTTCGTGACATGGTCTAGGATCTAGCAATCAATCGAGAGTGCGGGGTAGCTCATTCTGTGGATGCCGAAGTTCCTGGAATATTCGTGGAGTCTCGAGACACTCAGTGATTTTGATTGCGTCACCCTTACGAGACAATTAATCCAACGATGGGCAGCCTGAGTGGAAGGTATGTCGATATGAAGTTCCAGCTCATTCCCGAAGCTACAGGAGTACCGCTTGAATAGTATTAGAAAGCAGAGGCACCCCTCATGGTATTATAATACTTCACAAGTCATTGAACTCCCTATCAAACCACAGCATTCATCATACGCATCAACCTCAATCCTTAGCAGACCAGAAATCGACAATCCGGAATAGAAAATGTCTCTTTTCCCACGATCACTTCTTTACCACGAACAGTCGTCTGGCCCGACCATATTCCGACTATTGAATGAGATAGATCAATATTCATGCGGCATAGACAGAAACAAGCGTCACGTCACAAAGTCTTTTACTCCAAAATTTGATGTCAAGGAGCTCAGTGACTCTTTTGAGCTACATGGCGAGTTACCTGGTATTGATCGGAAGAACATTGATATCGAGTTTACCGATGCATCAACTCTCATCATCAAAGGCCGCATTGAACGAAGTTACACTAAAGTCACGCCTCCAAGAGGGTTTGTGGAGGGTGAGATAGATGACTCGACGGTTTGCGGAGAAAATGAATTCGGGCCAATAAAGAATGACAACGGCGTCTCGGTCAAGAAGTGCAAGGATCCAGACACATTAGGGGAGAAATTCTGGGTGATGGAGCGAAGAGTGGGAGAGTTCTCAAGGTCTTTTGCATTTCCCGTGGCAGTGAATCAAGAAGATGTAGAGGCCTCGATGAAGGATGGAATTCTAAGTATATTTATACCGAAATCCAAGATGCAAGAAAATCGCAAAATATTTCTTCAGTGAACTTAAGACGGCAGCAGTGCCCTGATTAAATTTAATACTCGACTTTGTCAAATGATAGAATATACTGATATTATTTTTCTTGTTACTGCGTCTGAATGATGATGGTTGAGGACAAAAACCACCTAAACTGCAACTTTTAAAGTAACTCTTCGAGACTTCTTGCACCTTATTATTCCATACCAAGCATCCTCCAACCTAAAATGTGACTTAATTTACATAATTTCCCTGCCAATTCCTTTGCAGACATCTATGTATCTTCCAATTTTCTAGAAAAACCCCGTTTACAACTAAAATTCTATAAAGGATATCAGTAAAGGTAGGCTACAAGTGTATAACACACATGCCTGAGGTTCCTGATGGATTAGTATGTATGAAATGTGAGATAAGCTTAGCTTTAAGATGGCGTAGGTTACGGGTGTCTCGTGGCTCCAAACTACTAATATGTATAGTAGAGCTTAAGACTAGATGTAACTTGATTTTCTATTTTTGTTTTTTTTTTGCATCAGATTTTAATTGCGTATGCAGCTATCTAGCTATGACACAATATCAAAGAAAAGTACAGAAAAGATGACTCAATTTACAAGAGGAGCACTCATGCCTCGGATTTCATTTGCAAGTACCACTGCGAAGTTATGGCGGCTTTTTCTTCACCCCAAGTCAACCCTCATCCGTGATTACCCACCCAGGGGAACATCTCAAAAACCCTGAGTTATCCAGACATGCCTCCATCATCTTTCAACTTTTCTCCGCGCGATATGTGATCTAGGGTGTCTCCTTCCCAGGTGGAGTAGGTGCCCAGGCTACTTAAACCATACCAGAGAACACCACCAGGAGGCGGATCACAACACCTTCTATCGTTGGCTTGTTTTTATAGTGTCAGCTGCACTCTCACAAGCGAAGTCTTGGCGCGCACAAAGCTCAATTCGTAAAACTGCTTGCCAAAATTCGGATTTTCATGCCCTTCGAGGTTATATCTTTCCTTTGCATCATCTTGTCAACTTGTCCTGATCCCTCTCACGTCCATCCCGAAGAACTGTTTCCCAGATTTGTGCGCCACGCATTGCTTCCTCCGTCGGGTATAAATATCGGCGTGGGCGTGTATTTGGTGGTCAACTGAGGCCAGAGAAGGTCAAAGAGTAGTGTAGTCATTGGGATGAGGATGTGCTAGGTCGTACTTGTAGACTTGATGAGACTTAGGTAGGCGTCAAACTCGTTGGGAGCGGAAAAACGACGTGGTGAAGTAATTTTAAATTTTGCCTCGTGGGCCAACTTCTTTGATATTGCGAAATTTGACTGAACTTGGCTCTGGGAGAATATTTCACTCCCAGGTTCGTAGAGGACACCGCCTACAGGTGTTCAGTCTTGCCCTCCTACCACACTACATAGCTGAGCATAACACCTACACCTTCTACCCTCTTCTCGAAGAACTTCTGATTGCCAGTCATTGTGCCAAGCATTTAAAATTAACTCCTTTGGCTTCACATTCACAAAAGAATGGAACGTAAACTTGTCACTTCTTGAAGCTGTCTTTTTTAGTGCTCCTCTGCAAGCAGGTCAGCAATTCTGAGGTTCCTGATGGATTAGTATGTGTGAAAAGTGAGATAAGCTTAGCTTTAAGATAGCGTAGATTACGGGTGACTCGTGGCTCCAATCTACCAATATGTATAGTAGAGCTTAAGACTAGATGTAACTTGATTTTCTATTAATACAGGGTGTTGTCTATTTAAGTACAGTATTCCTTATCTTGCGCCCGGACTCCAACATGAACAACATTACATAAGCATTACAATTTATGAGAACCTCGTACTAATCTAGAGGTCTGTCGATCTTGGATCCTCATGCCTCTCAACAAAAAATTTAATTATTTCCGGAAGTGTTACGAACCTGAAGTGGGGGACTATTCTCAACACCTGTCGGTAGCGTACCCCTTGTTTTGGAGTAGTGCGGGTACCATATAGTATTTTTTTAGATCATTTATTGTGTATTCAGCTATTTAGCCATGACATATGACCGGTGCTATGTTTACATGTTGGATGACTCTTTTGACGTTAGAGAAACCATACTCTACTTGGCAGACCGGCCAAGCCGATATACCACCGCACCATCCAAACATGGCGGTATTTATAGTGTCGCCAGCACTCTCGCAACCGGGAAATTGTCTCTTCAAGAGTTGGTCATCTCCCATGAAAAATTTACGATGCTATTTCTACCCGCAAGGAGTAATTAAGTCGAAATATACAAAGCCAGAGTCATGGTTTGTGGGGGACTTTTGCTTTAATTGGACAAATAACTTGAGTGAGGTCAGACAGCTGAGATGTGGATCGAGAGGGTGAACAGTTCTCTGAAGACCATGCTAGGACTGTTATTTTCGAGGGGTTTTCAACTTTGGAACGTTTTTGGGCGCCGAGGCTACGGTTGCGGATGGTGCTGCCTAAAGTTTTACAACAGGCAACGATGAGAGGCGACGTGGTCTGCCTCCTGGTCGTCATCAACTCGAATTCAAGTGTTGATAGCCTGGAAACTTACCTCACTCGAGAAAGAGAGGACTGTGAGGCTATACTACGCGTGCTGGCTACATGTAAGATGGAAAAGGCATGTTAGGGTAGCCTTAGGTATTTATCGTTTCTCCATTGCGTACTCACGGTTGAGGGAAAGGTAAGAGTTCCTGGCACAAAGGTCTCGAGTGGTATCAGCGAATGCACCCACTACATGCGTGGTCTAAATGCCAAAATAAGATATCATTGTATTTAGTGATCGTGGAAAGATTGGCCTTCTACGTATCAAACACAATGAGTGCTAGTTGTGTGGCCGCGACGAATTATAATCCATCCATCGAACAATTAAAACTATGTTGTATTATATAACGTTTTATTCCAAGTATTAACATCCGCATTAGTGTAGGGGTTAACATACTCCGCTTTCATCATAATGTTCCGGAGAGCCCCGGGTTCGATTCCCGGATGCGGAACGTAAAGACACAATTCTTCGTTTTGCTTATAGTCTCACTCAAAAGCCAAGTCCCTCCTGCCGGAATGAACATCTTATTTTCATTGCGGCGGTGATAATCGTTAATATTGCTGGACAACAGTTCATCCTAAAAAAGTTTATAGAGTAATGGGTTGATTGGATTTTGGATACACCGCTAATTGATAATCTGATAATGCCTAGAGACCTGACACGTTCACCGGAACAGATCTTATTGGGGTCTAGGGGTAACGGGGGATTGACGAGTGTGAGTGAGTGCGTTGTTTATTATCCTAACTGAGTGAATGACTGTCTGGCAAATTGGGCTTCTCTCTGACCTAAGCCACACCTTTTAGAGTGCACCTATCCTCTTATGTTACCTGAAAGGTCTTTTTTCATTTTTCTCATATTGCATTCAGCTAGCTAGCTATGACAATTTGTATGATAATAATCTACCTATCCTACGTATTCTGACTTAACTCCTAGATATTTTTACATCTAAACTTTCACTATTTCTCGTCCTAGTTAATCCCCTTTATGCAAATTGTGCACCTAGAAGTTTTCAAATATTCAAGTAATGCTTCTTTTCCCCCATTTGTTCTCAAAATTATTGGAAGATGAAGGGGCTCAAAACCCTTGAATGTGTCTTTTCTTTCCTTTTTGAATGTCTGACAATGAAGAATTAAGTATTGCGTGATTTGTTTTTCTCTATTGCAGAAATTTCAGAGGTATTACGGTTTCTGTACAAATTACATGGACAACCTTGTAAGTACAGTGTATTTTTGAATTTTATTTCATTTAACCCGATTTGGCGCCCTATGGGCCCATGCAGGCGGCTATGAACCTATCTGTATATTTACATGAGGAGGAAATCTTGCGGTAGAAACTCCCTCCCCCTATTAAGTTTTATATATCTGTAGTCCTTCGTTACCTACAGTAAGTGCAAATGGCCGTTAGTCCGAGACAAAACTAGCTAAAGTATACCTTGCCATCGTTATCCTGCCATGGCGTGCGGAAAAGTGATGACTGTGGTTTTCAGTTCGACCCCGATGGCGCAAATAGTTGTTGTGTTGGGGCTGGGACCAGCACTTGTTTTCGCGGGCGTCCTGGCCCTCTCTTGACGCCTTCTGGCTTTTGGTTGGACACTAGCGTAAACCTATGGCCGTCTGGCATGTTTACAGTTGTTGATTGAGGTAACTCCGTTTGTATTTCGCTCTCCCTTCTTAGTTCGGCCGTTCTATCCATGAGTCCATACCATGCCAGCTGGATATTGGCCTTGTATGCCGCGAAACTTGGACACGCCCCCTTCTACCACGATAAGTGGGCCTTGCCACAGTTGCAGCAAAGTACTGACTTTTTCGGGCAGTCCCTGGTCTGATGGGTGCCCGCACACCCTCCAAATTTCCTTGCCTTATTGCAGGAAGCTTGGGTATGCCCACATTGGCTGCGGTTAAAGCACTGCGTAACTTGTGCCCGGTGTGACTAGAGCTGGGCTGTGTATAGCATTGAGTCCATTACAATGCCATTTCTGATCACTTCGCGTTGTAGGGCCTCGGTCGGTAAGCTCGCAATAACTGACCCTCGAGTATGGCCATTTTCCTTCGCCCAGATGTGTTCCTTCCCGTCATAGAGCCACCCCACCCTGTTAATTTGTATGCCTGGAATCCGTGCTTTTTTCTCTGTCGTCATTTGGAATATTGCCACGCTGTTGTTGGCATTCTTTCCTCCGGGAATTATTGTCCCTAATGAGACCCCCAAGATTTCAACAGGGTAATCCTGCTTTAGGACGCAGAACTCCTTGGGCTGCTATTATGATTGGTATATGATTTGGGAATGTACACTTACGCTGGAACAGCTGAGATAGTA